TTCTAAATTCAACTTTCCAATTAATTCTTTCTTGGCCGTGTCTAATGTGCTATTAAACCTGACCATGGAAATTTAAATTTCTATTATTACTTTTTCATTTCTAGAAGTTCTGTTTAGCACTTTTTCAAATCTTCTTGCTCTTTACCACATTTCCAATCCTCTTTTTTACTTCCAGAAATTAAAGTGAGGACTCTTGTTTTATATTGTTTATATTTACAATTCCAGTATCTGAATTAGCAGTCGGATTCTCTCCTGTTTGTTTTTTTTTTCCTTGCTCTTGCTCATGGTCTCGTTTCCTTTTATGTAAGTGTTTCTGATTGCAAGGTGCTCCTTGCCCTTGGAACTCTATTTATTCTATTATTATTTATTCCTCTTCATTTTCTTTTTCTGGTATTTCTATTAGCTGGATTTTGACCTTCCCACTCTGACTGACCTACTGTGTATCTTAACTACCTGCCATATTGTCCATCTATGTTTTGCTTTATAGTCAGAAAAAAAATTTTTCTACTTTATATTCCAAATTGCAGACTTCAGCTATTACCAAAACTTTTTTATTCTTTTCCTTGAATGAACTAGATTTCCTCTGGGGCCAGTTCTTTTCTTTGGTGCTCATTGGGTATATATTCATATTTTTGAACAACAGGTTGGTTAGCAAAGGTAATTGGTGTGGATTTCTTGCATCAGTATATACTGATCGATTTTCCTAACACACCTATCCCTTGTAGGAAGGGCTGACTTGGAGCTCTTTGTAATTGGACAGGATATGCTGACTGGAAGGCTTCACTTAGGGTTCAAGAGAAGAGAAGCCTACAAGCAAACTGGGGGCCCCAAAACTCTCTCCACCTGCTTTCCCAATAAAAATAGGAATTTTTGGAAAAAATTTTTAGAGAAATTTTTTGGAGAATTTATGGAGAATTTTTATTTGCCTCTAGAGAAAAGTTGACTCTTTTTCTATCACTCATCTATGTCTACTTTTAAGGTCTGATATTATCTTAGAATAGGTGTCCTCAAACTATGGCCTGTGGGCCACATGCTGTCTGCTGAGGACATTTATCTGGCCCACTGGGTGTTTTTGCCGCTGCTGCCTGTCCTGCTTAGCAGCTGACTCGTCCTGGACCCACAGTGCACACTCTCCAACAGTCTGAGGGACAGTGAACTGGCCCTCTGTTTAAAAAGTTTGAGGACCCCTGTCTTAGAATCTATCTATCTATTCCATTTCTCTCTTAGGTATCAGTTCCCAACTATGAGTTGTAGTCAACTATTTTAGTTTTTAGCAAATAGTACTGTGTTTTTTGGTCTTTGGGTTTCCTTAAGAGAAAGATCAGACAGAAAGCTCTGCATAACAATCAGGAAGGATGCGGGTGGAGGGGTAACGGGTGGAAAAATGGCCCAGGTGTTCATATCACTGCAGGCAATTCACACTTGTTCTCTCTTGGGGTCCAGCAGAAATCTGGAGTCTTTCCTGGGCATCCCCAGGGCTGTTCCTACCACCACTACAGCTTGTTCCTGTTTGATTCTTTTTTCTTTTTCTGGGTCATAACCTTCCCTGTTCAGTGTTATTTTTCAGCAGGGTCCTGTTACTTTCTGTTTTCCAGAAATGCAACTAAATTTCTGGTTTGCTGATGACATTCCTTCCTGTTCTCAGCACTGTTATGGGTTTTCCCCCCCATTACTTTGGCTTTATGGCTATTAGGCAGGGATTCCGAAGCAAGGGAAAGAAGGCTCACACTCAATCTGTCGCCTGAACAGGACATTCTTCTAATTCTAAAAATGGAGACATGCATAATCTATTTTAATATTTAAGTAACTCAATGCTAAATAAGCTTCCATTTTATAATACTAAGTTCAATTGATCAGTAATTCAGCAAACTGATAATCTACCTTTCAGAAGATTTGGATTGAAAATCATTTTCTGTTTGATTTATATTCTTTTATTATCTATATAATGTGGTTTTTCTAATTTCAAAAAGAGAATATAAGCACTGGCTTAAAGTAGTGAGGTTCAGTAATCAACCTACTCATACAGATTTTGTTTTTGGTTTCTTGGAAGTTTAGTATTTTTCTATTTCTTACATGTTTACTGGAGTCATGATTCCACCATTTCAAACTATAATGATTCCAAACCAAATAAAAAACAGTACAGGGAATGCTGGTGGGATCAGTTTTCCTAAGGTTTCAAACATGCTATAATCCACAGAGAACGCTTAGATTTTTAAATAGGAATACTACCTTTTTATACATATGTTTGGCTTTCGTGGAAAGGTTTATTTTAAAAATGGAGAAAAAAATTCCCTTACCCCTAGGAAAGAGAAAGTTAACCAAAAACTTTCCCTAGACAATGAAATGCCGGAGGGCTTTGTACCACACAAAGAAGGTGCCACATTATGTTCTACAGAAGAAAGGTCTGTTTTTACATAATCTAAATTACAGTGACAATTATGGCATATCATAAAAATATGCCAGATGCATACAGAAATCACAGCAATGTAGTTCTTGGACAATAATTCAAACTCACAGTGAAGTGATAGAACCAACTTTCTTGTTAATTAACACAGTGGGATGAAAAGTCTATGTCTCTGGGGCAGAGATCCTTGAATTCAAATCCTAGCTATGTTTCTTTTTTAGCCATGTGACTGAAAAATGGCTAATTATTAATCTCAGAATCTCTATTTCTTGGCGGTGGCTCTTCTTTGTAATCCCAGTGCTTTGAGAGGCTGAGGCAAGAAGATTGATGAGGCCAGGAGTCTGAGACCAACCAGGGCAACATAGCAAGACCCTGCCTCTACAAAAAATAAAATAAAAAAATTTAGCCAGGTGTGGCGCCTATAGTGCCAGCTACTCAGGAGGCTAAGGGAGGAGGATCACCTGAGCGCAGAAATTTGAGATTACAGTGAGAGTTATGATTGAGCCACTGCACTCCAGTCTGGCAGCCTGGATGACAGAGCAAGACTCTGTTTCTAAAAAATAAAGAATCTCAATTTCTTCATGTGTAAAAGTATAAAATTCAGACAATAATGCCTATTTCATACAGCTACTGTGAAAATTAAGTGAAATAATATAGATCAAGGCACTGGCATACCGTATTAATAGACACTCAACAACTTACTTCCTTTGTTCTCTTTTCTGTCAAAACCTCCAAGCTGAGATAAGGTGCATTTGTTTGTCTAGTAGATCCTCCCTTTACCCGGAAAGTTTAAATCCAAGTGGTGAGAAATGGTGAGGAAAGCAATGGCAACTCTTCAGTATGTTCTAGTCATTGGCATAGGATGCTGGTGACTGTACACCACATGGACTTAACCATGCATTTCTTCTGATCCCATTTTTTTTTTTTTTTTTGGAGACAGAGTCTCACTCTGTTGCCCAGGCTAGAGTGCTGTGGCGTCAGCCTAGCTCACAGCAACCTCAAACTCCTGGGCTCAAGCGATCCTCCTGCCTCAGCCTCCTGAGTAGCTGAGACTACAGGGATGCACCCCCATGCCCGGCTAACTTTTGTCTATATTTTTACTCGGCCAATTAATTTCTTTTTATTTTTATTTCTCACTCTTGCTCATGCTGGTTTCGAACTCCTGACCTCAAATGATCTGCCCGCCTCGGCCTCCCAGAGTGGTAGGATTGCAGGCTTGAGCCACTGCGCCCGGCCTGATCCCATTCTTATTACTGAATCATTACTTTCTTCAGATATCATGTCCCTTGGCATTTCACCTCCTTGCTAGTGCCTATGCTTACAGAAAATCCCAACAGAGGATGGGATAATTAAGTGATGCTGCCTACGCGTCACTGTGCCATCATCCTCTCCACTGACCTTTCTCTAGCTACGCATTAAAATTCTGAGGCTTCCTGATGCATTTGTCTGCACATCTTTCCTCTCCAGCCTTTTTGCCTCGCAGATGCCCAGTGGGTGAGCCTCAGTTTCACAGACATATCTCCTAGCTCAGTGGATGTTCATCTTCAAACACAGCTTTGTAATTGGCAAGGGGTGCTCTCAGCCCACCGGCTGGTCACGAGACTAGCAAAGCCCAGTCTTTGTCAGCGTGCTTTTAGTACACGAACGGGGTAGCTTATGCATTTTTAATGCTCAAGACAACATTAATACCAAGTAGTAGGGCCAAACAAGAGAATTAAAACACTACTTTACAGAATGTTAACATTCTCTCTTTGATGACAAAGCTTATGTCCTTTATTAGCCACTGATTCAATAAAGAAATGGCTTCCTAGACAGTCAAGTCTATTTCTGGAAGAGGACAGGGTGCATATACTCAGCAAGTTGTGACTTTTCTTCATGGATTCTAAGGCCATTTATCTTGAGGTCTTTTGATGGCTTTTCTTTGCCCACCAATTTTCTTTTTTTCTTTTCTTTTTGTTGAGACAGAGTCTCGCTCTATTGTGGGGCCTAGAGTGCAGTGCTGTCATCATAGCTCACAGCAACTTCAAACTTTTGGGCTCAAGTGATCTCCTGCCTCAGCCTCCCGAGGAGCTGGGACTACAGGCAGGCACCACCACGCTCAGATAATTTTTCTATTTTATTGTAGAGATAGGGTCTTGTGCTCAGGTTGGTCTCAAACTCCTAGCCTCAAGTGATCCTCCTGCCTCGGCTTCCCAAAGTGCTAGGATTACAGGCATGAGCTACCTAATTTTCTTTTAATTTAGACAATGCATTATTTGCCTTTAAAAATTTGCATTATTTGCCTTTCCCCTTCACATGTGCTAGGGAACAACTGTATTAAAGCATGATGTTCCTTTCCCCTAGGATTGCTTTGAGATTCACCATGTCATGTTTTGGCCCTCCTTCCCCTGAATATGAGCACTCAAAGTCACCATGGATCTTATCATCCACTTGGGCAATACTTGAACAAATGGCCCCTTTTTCCCCATTCGATTTTGTCTTTCAGCAAATTTCTTTTAAAACTACTGTCTACTGTATGCTCATCTATCCCTCCCCCTCTGCCCTCCACACCCAACCTCCACCCCCATTTGAAGTTGTGGAGTGAAGTCTTTCTTACTTGGATTATTGTGTCCAGAGGATACAAGCTGAGAGTCCTGAAAAAACAAGAAGTATCAATTAATTTTCTAATTTTCACTTTCAAAACTCAGGTTGAACATGAGACATATTACTGGTCATTCAGAACTGATTCGCAGCTCTTAATCTCACTAGTTAGTGTAATGAGAAACATTTACAGGAATGTGCTTGTTAAGCAGTTCTGGGAATATACTTCGCAAACGCTTTTATTTTGTATTGTTTGCTTTTTGTTTTATTTATTGAGGTGACATTCACCTAACATAAAATCAACCATTTTAAATTGAACAATTCAGTAAGCATTTAGTTCTTTTATAATGTTGTACAACCACTACCTCTATCTAGTTGCAAAATATTTCCATCACTCTAAAGTAAAAACCCCTTATCCATTAAGCAGTGTCTTTCCATTCCCCCCTCCCCTCAGCTCCTGGCAACTGCCAATTTCCATGTGTCTCTATGGATTTACTATTTTGGATATTTCATATAAATGGAATCATACAATATGTGACATTTTGTGTCTGACTTCTTTAACTTAGTCTGATGTTTTGGAGATTCATGCATGCTAAGAGATTCATACAGTACTTCCTTTTTATGGCTAAGTAATATTCTATTGTATATGTATATAACAACTGGTTTATCCATTAATCTATTAATGTGTATCTGGGCTGTTCCCACCTTTTGGATACTGTGAATAGTGCTGCTATGAACACGTGTGTACATGCACTTGTTTGAGTCCCTGTTTTCAATCCTTTTGGGTACATACCTAGGAGTGGAATTTCTGAGTCATATAGTAACACTATGTTAAACTTTTTGAGGAACTGACAAACTGTTTTCCACAGAAGTAATCCCACCTGCAATGCCAGCAATACCAATTTTTCCACATACTTGCCAATAGTTGTTATTTTCCATTAAAAAAATTATAGCTATCTTTGTAGGAGTAAATTGATACTTCATTATAGTTTTGATTTGTATTTCCCTAGTAACTAATGACACTGAACATCTTTTCATGTGTTTCTTGGCCATTTTTACATCTTTGGAGAAATCTATATTCAAGTCCTTCACCATTTTTCAATTTGGGTTGTTTGCCTTTTTGTTGTTGGGATGAAAGTCCTTGATACAGTCTGGACACTAGACTCTTATCAGATATGCAAGATAATTTGCAAATATTTTCTCCCATTCTGTTGGTTGTCTTTTAATTTGATGATGTTCTTCGATGCATGAAAATTTTAAATTATGGTAAAGTTTAATTTATCTAATTTTTCTTTTGCTGCTCATGCTTTTGGTGTCATATCTAGGACTGGATTACCAAATCCGATGTTATGAAGATTTAAACCTATGTTTTCTTCTATGAGGTTCATGGTTTGGGCTCTCATTTTCTGGTCATTGATCAGTCATTATCTCATTGACTTTTAATACAACTCACTTCTTGAATGTACCTTTACTCCCACCCACTTCCTGTAGATGAGGCTGGCAATATCCCACCAGGAACACTATGTTGAACAACTCTCGTCAGTCTCACATTGGTGGAAGAAAAGATTATTACTAATATCAACTTCTCTGCAATGGCAGTACTACATGGTATTTTAAATTTAGTTAATGCTGAGGTAAGCAGAGATTGAACCTGATTTTATTTGCATGGTTTCGAACTCCTGACCTTGAGCAATCCGCCCGCCTCGGCCTCCCAAAGTGCTAGGATTACAGGCGTGAGCCACAGCGCCCGGCCCTCATTGACTTTTAATACAACTCACTTCTTGAATGTACCTTCACTCCCACCCACTTCCTGTAGATGAGGCTGGCAATATCCCACCAGGAACACTATGTTGAACAACTCTCGTCAATCTCACATTGGTGGAAGAAAAGATTATTGCTAATATCAACTTCTCTGCAATGGCAGTACTACATGGTATTTTAAATTTAGTTAATGCTGAGGTAAGCAGAGATTGAACCTGATTTTATTTGCATTAAAATGAAATGTGGAATTTTGACTTGAGTATTCACAGCAAAATTCACTTTCCTTGCAAAATTCTCATTTAAAATAAAATGTAAGGGAGAATTACAAAAGAATGAATTAACTGAGGTGTTAGGAAGGTACAAAAATCAGTAGCAGCACATAAAATCTGGCAAAACTCTTTCATAATTCTGGCACATGTAACGAAAATCCAGTGAAATGGAATTACTAATATATGGCTTAATATTTTATCAGAATTTTGCTCCATGAATACAGTTGTCAGGGATCAGGGAGTGTCATTTGATATGACTTGTGGCATATTCGAATTCAAGCAATAATTTCTGCTTGAAAAAGGAATTCCAAGGGGATGGGTATATACAACCAAGCGAGTAAGATGTGCAATGTTTGGGGGATGGACACGCTTGAAGCTCTTACTCAAGGGGGAAGGGGGTCATGGGCAATATATGTAACCTTAACACTTGTACCCCCATAATATGCTAAGATAAAAAAAAAAAAGAAAAAGGAATTCCACTGGAAGAGTATAAAATAAGCCAGTCTGGTGGTTGAGGGTTGGATAAGAAAACTGGGAAGGAAAAGGATTCCCAGTCTATTAAACAGACTGAGTCATACACAGATGCCTAATAAACCTCTTTCAGCATTGCTAATAACGAGCTATTCATCTGAAGAAAAAGAACAAGCTCAACTCTCACCCTGAGATTCAGTTTTTGGAAATGGTTTTATGAAGATGAAACACTGGTCCAGAAATATAATCTGCAAAAATGATTTTGGCCTATCTTGGATAGATGCTGTTATGAAGAAGACATCAACAGTTAAATCCCCCAAGTAGATTGGCGTGTTTCCTTCCTTTGTAATTAGAGTTTATATCTGAACATGAATTAGTTTTAGCTCTGACATGTGACAAGTACTTTGAGTCCCACTGAGTTAACTCCTCTGTGCTGTCTTTAGACTTTGGTCCTTTGGAGGCATCCTGTGCCAGGGAGGGGAATACTCACTCACCATCAAATGGACATGAATGGTAACCAAGAGAGTTTTTAGCATTAAGCTCATTCATTTAAAAAGAAAAAAAAAAAACAGAAATTTTTCTAAGACTGTTTGCTGACACTAATTAGAAATAGTTCTTGATGCATCCTAAAACCTGAGTGATGACTGTTGACCATAGACCACCCATCAGCAGAGAACCACAGATGAGCTCACAGTTGACCTGAATTATGATAACATACTGTATGGTCACATATTCCATAGATAGTAAACTTTAAATTTTAACTAAAATACCTCCATAATTAATGACTATTAATATTTCTCTGTTGTATAGGGCATGAAGGCAGAAAATGATTAAAGTAATTGGTACCTGCATGCCGCCCCCCCAAAAAAAAAATCTCTGTAGGAGAGACAAGAATAAAATCAAGGACTTTGTACCTAATATGTAATCTCATATTTCTAGTTGATGTCTTCTTGGTGGTACACTGACTGACCCAACAAATGTTAGCTCAGAAATACTGACTCTGACCCCGATTGTTCTGTGCCATTCTGTGGGTACAATGTCCTGTTATCATTCTTACTGGCACATGGCCAGTGTGTGGCCAGTCTGCTTGTGGAGGGTGCAGCTATCTTAAGAGGCTGCTGCCAAATTTAAGTCCACAGGTCCATGTATAAGATGCCTTGATAAGGTGGCTGCTGGCCAACCTCAGGGCCCGTGGCTGCTGCTTCTGAAGGAGTACTGCCCTGCCCAGACAGCTGTAAAACCCAGGGAGCCCCCCAGAGTAAGAAGATTCTTCTTGGAGCCAGAGCCAGGGTGGGTGCAGAGCAGAGGGTGACCAACATTCTTTTCTCCAAAAGGCCTAGGAACTGAAGTCCTTTCCACTACTGCATTCCTGCCACTCCACCCAGACCCCCACATGCCTATAGCTTCTATCTCAAAGGCCTTCTCTCCCCTTGCAAACATCTTCTGTAAGTAGATGCCTGGCAGGTCCCAGCCCCTCTGGGAGCACTTGACTAGGCTTGCAAGGTTCTCTGTCAGGCTCTTTAAGGGTTACAGAAGTGAGTCCAATGAATCAGGAAAGGAGTTGATGTATGTACAAATTATTATAACCCATGGCTGAAAAGTGATGCTATGACTGCCACTCACGAGTGCTCCAGCCTGTGTATTTTGCCCTGGTTCCTACTCCTTGGAACACACATCCTGCTGCTTTCTGTTTTCTGCCTGGAAACTTCATTCTTCCTTCAAGGCTCTGCACAAGTTAGCTCAAAGGTTACCTGATCTTTGAAATTTCCTGAATCTCAGGACAACTGAGTTGCTTCTTTATGTTTTCACTACACTACACTTTCATAACTCTATTATGGTAATTACCTTTTTGATGATGATTTCTTTTTTTTAAAAAAAAGCTTTACTGAACTATAAAGTATATAACACAAGCTACACATATTTAAAGTATACAATTTGATAATAAGTATCCCGAAAAGGAATGCTACTAACTGAGAAAAGTATAAAAAAGAAGTTTCCTGTAATCTTGTATCAGGACATTCCCAAGGTTAATCTGCTGCTTTCGGTTTGCCAGGGCCATTCATCAAGTGTGTGTCAATCTAACGGTCTAGTGCACAGAAGGGAGAGCTGTTCCCTGCTACTTGGAAGAATATCTATACATCAGAATTTATTCTTTTCCACCTGTAAGTCCTGAATTCCCAACACTATTCTGCTATAGCATAACTCTTTGGTACACAATACTCCTAAAACTCCTTTAAATATGGTCTTTAGCTAAGAAGAAAAGTTCACATAAATCATTTTGCTGAAGACAGAAATAACTAGGCACACTGGTATCTGAGAAAGCCCTTGAATGAAACACTATAACAGGGACCACATTTCATTAAATGTTAACATGCCATCCAAGTTGCATGAAGCTGCATTATCCCACATGCTACCAATTGCTGCCAATTAACTGTAAGATGCCATCAACTGTAAAACAAATTCAGATTTTAGTTAATATATGTGCTGTTGAGGCGAGTACAAGGTTTTCGTTATCTTAAAATGCAATATATATATATATATATATGCACTTT